GGAGAGGCAGGAGAGCAGGCTTCCCCTCCTCACCAGAGATTGGTGCCCACAAACCTCCGCTGACTCCTGCTGTGTGCCCGGCCTCTTGGTTCATTAACTCCTCTCCTCCCCAGAGCACATCCAGGATGCGGACACTCAGACCCTGAGAGGTGAGAGCTAACCCAGGTTCACACTGCGAGGAGGCGGCACAGGGGGGACCAGAGTTGGGGCAGCCTGACTCCAGGACCTTGTGCAGCCTCCGCAGCTGGGCCCTGAGGTCTCAGAGACGGCTCAGTGGTTGAGCGTCGACCTATGAACCAGGTCATAGTGCGATTCCAGGTCAGGCCACATGCCTGGGTTGCAGGCTAGATCCCCAGTGTGGGGCATGTAGGAGGCAGCCAATCAATGATTCTCTCTCATCATTGTTGTTTCTATCTCTCTTCCTCTCCCTTCTTCTCTGAAATAAAAATATTTTTTAAAAAAATAAAATAAAATACTAGAGATAATCCTCAGAAATGAAAAAGCTACTAAAAACAAAACTATGCCACAATGGTGGTATATCTACCTATGCACTCTGAGAATTCATCCACCCTTTACATTTATTCCTTTAAGAATATATGCCCCTGTACATCTTTCAGGCACTAGCTTTATATTTAAGTCACCCTGTGAATGAGATGTAAAGCAATCATATTTAAGCCTATATCCTCTAGACTCACAACTTATAGTCCACCTTCCATGAATACTTGGCAGGTCAATGCCATTGCCAGAAAAAAAGACAAAAAAACTTTCCTAATGCCAACATTGTGGGCTTAAAAGTTCATTGACAAGCCATAACCCTCTCCCTCTCTAGGTTTGTAATTAATCCCTCTATTTGCATTATGTAAATGGTACATTGTATAATTTTATATTCACGCTTGTTATCATTAATAAACTCAGTTGTTATTTCTCTAACAGAGCTCTGAGATGCTTCATTATTGGAACTGCAAGCAGAACATAAGGGCTGCAGAAAGCATGAATCTTTCATGATACTGACAGATTTTGTTCACAACCTGCCATAATGATTAATATTACTATTAATTTTGCCAGGCACATTGTCAACATGGGTACTAAGTATGAAGTAAGAAAGACTCCTTTGCCCAAAAATTAATTCTGCAAGGAATGCCACTAAAGAAGGAAAGGACACCCGTCTCACTCAAGCCCAGAGATCATGCCAGTCGATGTGCAGATCTCTACTGAGGCCTATGATGGGTGAAGACTCAACCGTGTTGGCATGTGAACTAATATTCTTGCAGGCAGGATAGTGGTGAAGTCAGATCTCTAAGCTGATAGCCTGGCCTTGGAATAGGTCCTGGGTCAGGGGTGGGTTACTGAGAGGAGGGGGTGAGGTCAGGAGGCTGCGGGGCTGGTCTCAGTGAGGCCAGACAGGAGGGTCACTCGGGCAGGACTTGGCAGAGGAATGGCGTGGACCTGTGGCTGCTGAAGGTGCGGTGGGAGGAGGGGATGGGGCCCCTGCCAGGACCCAGAAGACGGATGGAAACGGATCGGGAGTCCACAGAGCTTTCGGGGCTGGAGACACTGAACTCGTCGTCGCGGGTGTGGCCCAGATGTGGCCAGTGCCCGAGAGGACCTCCACCCAGCGAGAGGGCACAGCGGGGAGCAAGCAGCCAGGACAGAGCCCTGCCAGTGGGAGAAGCAGAGGGAAGAGCCCCGGGATTGCCAGTCATACCAACCGGAAGGCGGAGTGGCCTTCAGGGCCAGCTCTTGGCACCCGGAGTGCCAGGTTCAAGGCTGCCCAGGAGGGACAGGAGGCTCCTCTGAGTCGGGAAGGGAGAAGTGCTCCCAGGTGGGGCAGCCTGGGCAGGTGAACCCCGAAGGGGAAGACGCTGGGGGTCTCGGGAAGGGTGTTCGGGGTGGGAGACTCGTACAACAGCGGGGGGGCCTGAAGGCCACCGTCAGGTCTGAGTTCACCTTCCACGCGTCTGGGAAGCAGCTTAATGCTCATCTCAGAGTTATCGCCAAGGTTAAGGGAGAACATGAGCGAGAAGCCGCGTCGGACACATAAGTGTTGAGCACACCCTGTTTTCATTCTTATCATCAGGAGCAGCACCGCCAACAGCTGAGTTCCATCTCCTTCTGCGGGAGAAGGTGGGGTCAGCCCAGCAGATATCTGGCCCCACGTCCCAGAGGGTGGTTAGCACCGTCCCTGGAGCAGAGCCGGGCCGGGTGCCGTCTGAGTTGTGAAGGCTCCCTGGGCTCTGCCCTCCCTCTGCCCTGGCCCGCCCTCAGAGCACTTAGAAGCTCGTGTTTGGAAGGGGCCTGCCTTGCTCTTGCCGAGGACGCTCGCTCCTCTTGGCACCCGCAGACCTCAAGGAGACGGGGAGGGACAGACGGGCAGAGGGGAAAGGGAGGCTCCGTGCTGGCTTCCCACAGAGGGTGCCCTGTGGTGCCCCAAATCTAGGAGAGGCTGCGCAGGGCGCGGGCGGCACTGAAGCAGGAGATGTTGGAGGAGGTACCTCGGGCTGGAGCCTCAGGGCCAGGACCAGCAGCAAGGGGAGAGGGGGCCCCAGGGCTGCAGGAAGAGAGGACCACCACACACGTCTAAACAGGAGCCCGAACAACCCACCCCAGGGCTTCGACATCCACTCCCTGCAGCCTGCAGTGCCTGGGGCCCGGCCCGCAGGTCTTTCCCC